CCATCCCCACTAAGGATGCAAGGTTGTTAAATGTTGAACTGGTTAAACGGGGGATGGGTGGGGTTGCTCCAGCACCCAACTATTAACCATTAACATCCCTAATCCCCACCATCCCCCTTGTTTCCTGAGTCATCCTCTCCATATAGCTCTCTACTCCCCCCCCCCCCCCCCCCCCCTCCCCCCCCCCTCTGCTGCTTCTGCCTTTTTTTTCAGGTTTCCGCTGTTCTTCCCTGATATTGGTGCCGCCCGCTAAGATCCACTCTTCTTGGGTTCTGCTAGAGTTCTTTCCATTTGCATGTCTGTCGTTTCTCCAGTATATTGTGTAAACACCCACATTTCTGCTGCAGCCTTGGGGGTCATCCTCTATAACTTCCACCCATTTAGGTTCCCCTTCTTGTTTTCCAGCCTTTCTCATCTTATGTGCTATTCCTCTATTTTTCTAATTTTTTTCATCTGTGTGGAATACATTTTGAGTACGAAAGCATGTCCTTATGTGCACCACCAAAAGAAACACATTAAGTTACTGTGCAACAATGTTATAGTAGATTATCCAGAATATTGACTCATTTGAACTTTCAATCTTATTGGTTCTATGTGGGTAAAATTAAGAAAGCAAGTTGGTATAATTTTATTCTGGTGTCTGTACCTCTTGGATACTCTTATTTAAATGGCTGGATTCATTTAGAATTGGCCGTAATTCACGTACACATAAATAGAATTGCATCCTTGATATGTTGTCAGTATTGTTTCCTCAACACTAGATTTCCCATTAAGAGTTCACAAGATCAGATTTCAGTTGTATTCATGCTGTTGCTATTTTTTGTTTTCTGCATGTCATAGGTCAGAATACAAAACGTGAGTCTGGAAGGAAGGTCCAGCTTGGAAACGTCAATGCTGCCAAGGTACTGTTTTATGTTATGAAGTATGTTAGCAAACTAGTAATCAAAAGGTGACAAACACAGAATCATGAACTTGAAACATTTTCAGCAGCTCCCTTGACATCACTATTATTCACTTGGTATTTTTTTACAAATTTCACATGAAGAAATGCTGATCACTCTATTGCTGTACTTAAACAACAGCTGCAATTGAATATAACTTTTTGTTTTAGTGACTACAAAAAAAGAAAAGAAAAATTAAACGTTAATCCAAAACTTTACTTATGTCTGAACCTTGACATCTTGTTTAGCAAGTAGCTTGGAGTAATGTCTTGAGCAGATGATTACGTCCAAATACAGTAAAACCTGTGCTATCCAGCACTTAACTAGCCGGAAAACTTTAGAAACCTCCACATTTCTGAGCCAGGGAACAACTTGTTAAAAGCAAAAAAAAAAAAAAAAAAGAAACTGGTGCTTTAAGCTGGGCCGCTCCTCAGACACTCCCCCTGCCAGACGTGCATGCAGCCTGTACCTGGAGGAGGAACGAATGGCTGCTCTGACCGCCTAATACCGGCCGCATCCTGGCAGCCCCACGGCTTGTGGCTGCCTGCCCTCCACCCTCTCCTCCTGGCAGCCCGGCATCAGCAAAAAAAAAAAAAAAAAAGAAACTGGTGCTTTAAGCTGGGCCGCTCCTCAGACACTCCCCCTGCCAGACGTGCATGCAGCCTGTACCTGGAGGAGGAACGAATGGCTGCTCTGACCGCCTAATACCGGCCGCATCCTGGCAGCCCCACGGCTTGTGGCTGCCTGCCCTCCACCCTCTCCTCCTGGCAGCCCGGCATCACCTGCAGCTCACCCCCGCCAATTCCACTCCCCCCCCTCCAATCAGGCTGCATCCTTCCTCCCCCTTC